ATAAAATTTTTTCCATTTCGTTAGGATGTGTTTTAAATGATTTTTAAATGTAAATTCAGATATTTAATGGGAAAAAATAGATGATAACTATATTTTTAATGCTTAACATAAGGTTATATATTCATTTTAAATTAGGACTCTTAATTTTCTTTTTATGTTGGTTATTTTATTGGGTAAAAGTATTTTTTTTAATAATTCATGGCCATGAAAAAGAATGAGTGATTCATATTTTTCTAATTGCATTAATGTAAGGCTTATGCATTCCTAAATCTATTTTTTTTGTATTATCTGGATTTAATTTCAAATATTATAACTTGTTAATAAGCTATTAATTCTTCTTGCAAAAAAAATTTTTTTTTTTAAATTGCATATTAATTAAACCCCAATTTTTTTTTTTTTTTAAATTGCATATTAATTAAACCCCATGGTTTAGAAATTTATATTGATAATCGAGGCGATTTATTTAATTGATTTGAAATGTTGGTTTTGAATCTATTTTAGGTTTAGGGTTCAATTATATACCCAAGTTTTTAAATTATGATAAATAAGATAAAATAGGAGTTCATTAAAAACATAAGTGTAAATCATTAACTTCACATTTTACGAAGGCATACAAACTTTGACTGGTTGAATACAAAATTTGAATTAATAAAATATAAAAATTAATGGCATGAAAAAGAATTGAATTCTAAATGGAGTCTTTTATGTCCTAAAATAAACATCATCATCTTCTTCTTCCTCTTTGGTAGAATCATCTATAGAATTGTTTTGATGTCTAGTTTCCTTATTGCTCGCCCCATCACTCTAATGTGAGTCAACCCACTTATCGTCTTGATCAAATATTATTGATTTTTTTCTTGCATTAGGATTATTATAATAAGTTCACTCATAAGAAGAAAAAATATTAAATATATATTTATAATCTAATTTATGATGAATACATTTTATACTCTTATGACGTGTTTGATATTTACCTAGTCAGCATTTTGTTGATTTTTATGAAATACCATTAACTTTTGTTGGTTCTTACATTAGCAATAATGTATAGCTTTAAAATCAATATTTTTATTATTTTCTCTTTTAACAACACTTTTTTCAACTTGGTTAAATATCCGTTCTTTATCTGATGGCGATTGACCAAGAATTAAATTATCATTATCATCTTTGTGTGTCGTTACCTGAGTTGTCTATCTTTTAGTTTTTTGTTATACATGGCACAATCCTATTTATTAAACAGCGTCACAACAAAATGAGTTTATCTTTGTAAATACTATATTGATTGCGCTCCAATTTCATTCATATTTAGAAGCTGTTCTATTGGACTTAGGACTATGATTGCAGATGTTTTTAATTCTGATGTTTCATCCCTAAATGCATTCACCAATGCTCTTAATCATGTGTTTGAAGAAATGAAATAAGAGAAATAAGATTTAATTGTATTAATAATTTTCTAGATCTCTTTAGAAGCTAATTCTTTTCCATCTATGTTCATCACTTTTTGTTCTTTTTCCTTGTTTGTGTTACCATAGGTAAAGCTTATTGTAGGACACTTTTCATCATCAACCTGTCTCAGCACTATAATTATTGGTGTTGTGGTTCTAAGTGTGTATCTCTCATTTTGCCAATTCTCAGCACTATAATTATTGGTGTTGTGGTTCTAAGTGTGTATCTCTCATTTTGCCAATCGTATTTTCTCTTAGCATAGATAATTGTTCCTTTACCTTGTTCTTTTTCTGAGTACTTCAACTAATGGTGATGTGGTTTTATGTGTGTCTATCGTACTTTGTTTTTTTTCCTTGCATGAATTACCATAGATAATTGTTTTTTATTTCTTTTGCTTTCTTTTTTTTTGCCCATTGATTATCATTTTTTTCTAAGGATGTAAACTGTCACGACCCGATGCGGTAACCAAGGCTGGTAATGATAGTTGGACAGTGAGGAATATGTTTTTTTATTCATTTTCTATATCTAACATTTAACAAATGAAAAATCCACTAAAAAAATAAGTTAAAGCAGTAAAATTAAAAAAAAAAATTACTTCATTACAGATTGTCCACGCAATCTATAAACATTTTGTTTTCTATTGAACATCTTTTAATCAATTAATTAAATTTGAAAAGTTATTTTAAAAGAACATTGAGTTAAACAATGCCAGTGAATACTTACACTTTTAAACTATTATAGTACAATTAAAAATTTTAATTGATCAGTGTAAAGTTTTTAAAATTTTTGATAGTTTATGAATATGAGCATTTACTATATTTTATGCTATTCAATGTTTTTTATTATATGAATAATATATCTATATAAGAATCATCAGAAGTTCTCTGTCTGTAGAATCATCAGAAGAGCACCGTTTAGAAAAAAATTATGCCAGTTAAGGTACTTCAATAGCCATATCTTTTTTCATTTATGCTAGTATTTTAGCGTCTCCTTGTTAATGTCATTTTTGACTCCATCATATCAAAGCATGCACATGCATACATACTATAACAAATATTATTTAGCAATGTTACTTTCATTCATATTTGTATAACAATCAATATATTAGTACACGAATTCTTAGCTATGACAATTTAATTGATACTGAGTTTACATGTCAGTCCAAAAATATGAACAAAATTCAATAGAAACATAAATGATGGGTATGCAATGCTATAAATATAACAATAATTGTACGTGCATTTGATCTAGAAGAAAATATTATCATAACATAAGAATATGAATTACTCACGTCAAAAATCATTTGATTTGTCTTAAATATTCAAACTTGCTCATTCTTGTTTCAAATAGTTAACTGTCTACAATGTCTTGAAAATATTATTTTAAGTATATCATTAATTATTTTTTATTTACTTATGTTACTTTAATTGTTGATTAAAAACTTTTATTTTAGGTATTCATGCTACTTTAGTTTGGCCAACAAAATTTAAATTAAATCAGGTATTCATGTTACTTTAGTTTGGCCAACAAAATTTAAATTAAATCATCATTTATAATTTATTTTAAAATTTTTTTACTCCCGCTCTACTTTAAACTAAGAATATATATATTTTATTTTCATTTTTTGATTAAATATTTTATACTACTTTTATTATGATATTAGGGGGTATTAAGAAGTATTTATACCTTAAATATTAAGTTTTTTTAAAATTATAGCTTTGATAACTCACCCCAGCTTTGGCTTGGACGCACTTACCCTTCCCTTTCCTCTTCTTTGGCTTGTTCTCCCGGGATTGAGCCTCACTACGTAAGAAGCTTCATTTGCTCTCATCTCGTCCTTCTCTGCACTCGCGATCATGCCTATTCTTTTCTTTGCATGAGCTTGCCGGCCTGCCACGCTTTCGCCCTTCCTGCTATCAACGTCAATTCTTCCTCTGTTTGATGATCGAAGACGTCGTTAGTGGAAGCCCCCGCGTTCAACCATGGGGAAACCCTAGCTTGTGTTCTCGTCTTCATACTTTCCGTTTGGCTCTCTAGGACGAAAGTAACCTTTATGTTCTTGACTGTTTGCTTCCTCTTCCTCTCGACTCCCTTTCTTCGACTCTTTTGAGAAGTTGAAATGAGGCGTCACATAAACATTGCCTCTAAATGGTTCCTAACCTTTTTAACTCTTTGTTAACTCATATAAGTAATTCCAAATTTTATGATTGCGGTCAAATAAGGTCCTTATCACTAAATTGTTTCATTAAGTTCAACACACATACTCCCTCATTTTATTAAGAAAAGTTAGAGAACCTCCCGTTGAAGCATCTCAAAACTCTCTTCTTAGCATTCTTCACGTCTTCCCTTATGAAGGTTTGGATGACCTTTATTGGGAAACAAGAGGGTCGACAATGGAGCAAGAGTTCCTCAGTACTTGAATATTTTAAATGGCTGAATGCAAGCCTTTTTTTTGGATAGAATATGCTTTATTTTTCCATGCACCATTACATTGAAATTGTTTAACCTATTAATTTTATAGTCTTCTTAGATGTATTGACACAGCGAAGTAGTAAATTACAAACATTATGTTTTTGTCAAAAATGAAATTACCCTTGTCACTATAGCTTGCAAGATGAAACTCAAAATTTAAAGTTAATTATAATCTTGCTTCTTATTTGGATTTACTATAGAGAATAGGCCCTTGGACCTCATTAGGGGTACCAAAAATTGATCTTACACGCCAACTCGACCTGAACTTCACTAAAAAATTCGGGTTCGGTTGACACAAATATTTTTTGTCAGGTTTGGGTTAGAAATCCTAACACCTTTTATTTTTTGGGTTGAGTTTGAGTTGATTTGTCAATCTGAGTTGATCTGAAACTGTCTTGCAAACACGTAATTAACTCAAAATCAATCCAAAAACTCGAAATTGACACAAATTTAACTTAAAATTGACCCAGAAAATTGTTAAATTTTATGTTAAACAGGTTACGTGGGTCAGGTTCTTGTCGGCGGGTTGAAGGTAAGTCGGGTTCGGGTGGGATTTTCTGATCCTTTTAATATTTATGTTGTTTTTAGGTCAAACAACATTGGGTCAGGCCTGAACTCGGCCCACAAACCTGATTTTACTCCCCTACCTACATTTATATTAATTTTAAATGTTTTTCCTTTGATATCTCACTATTATAAGAGTTTTGGCCTCTGTTGGGGAATAAATGATCAAGACTGTTGTTTTGCTTCTTTTTTCTCATCATGAAATAATTATTTTAGCAGGTTGCTTCAAATAGTTTCCTGTACTTTTCATTTTTGGAGGCTTCTCCATTCTGTGAAATTTTAAAATATTCTTCATGATGCGCTTGTCATTTTGTTTAAAACAAGTAACTTTTTCTTTTTAGTGCACTTGCTACTTATTTTTTTTGGATTGAGCTATTTCATATGTTAGAGGCTTGACCGCTTGAACTTGTGTGCTATGCGTGTGATTTTGCTAGTGTTTCAACTTTTTCCATTCTGTTATTTTTTTTTTAGCTGATCTGTTTTCATCTATTGTGCTGTATTTTAAAACCATTTTTCTACAGTGTACACATTCAGGAATTTATCTTTTAGCTTTACGCGTGGCATCCCATCCAAGTGGGCATGATGAAGTAAAACTTATTCTTAACCTACTTAATCGGCTGCTTTCATCTAATCCGGTGAGTATTTCATGTTTTTTTTTTTTGTTTTTTTTTGTTTTTTGTTTTTATGAATTGCTTTATGTTTAGATTTCAATTTTAAGGGATTCATTGTCTCTGATAAACCTTATTTTTATAATGTCGTGAGGCATGGTTTACTTTTCATGAATTACTTTTTAGCTTTCAATGATCTCTGCCTTTTGCTTTTATCTTTGAAGTTCTTTAGTTTTTGCAATATTTACCATTTCATTCATTACTTCGCATCGTGAAATTACTTATCATCTTTATGAGGGGGTTATTCACTTTGGGTTTGAACCATTTTTTCCTTGAATCATTCTCTCAGGTAGTAGTTTGCTGAGTTAATTTTGTTTGTTGATTTATTAATAGATGCATTGTAATTTGCTGATTTGAGTTTGATAAGAATGTGAATCATACTCCACTGGTGGCACAACTTTGCATTGATCCATTTTATGAATTTCACGTTTCATTGCTTAGTGTATGGTTTACAGCTTAAATTTTAAGAATGACAATGGAGCCAATAGTTTATATTTTATGCTACCATGTGCAAAGGGATGTTTGGTAGTGCCTTGTTAATAGGATTTATCGCATGATTCACTAAATCCAGCCAAATATAAAGTTTATGAAATTTTGGATTTAAAGCCCTTAATTTTACCTTTGATTTATGTTAAGTCCAGATTTAATAAATCCAATAAGGCGGATTTAATTAATCCGGGTTTACTAAATCCTACTGACGCTAAATCTTTTCTGCTGCCAAACACCCCCAAAGAGTTTGCATTCTGAAGCAATTTGGTTGTCCTAACTTTAGGTTTCTCTGGTCGTTGAAATACAGTAGACTGCAAGAGGCTTTAATTCATAACAAGAGAAACAAATTTTAGTTTTCATATTATTAACTTTTCCTTTTCATCTTCTGACAGAGTTAATGTTAATATTTTCACTAAGTGTACTGTTAGCAGGGTTCTACTGTTAACTACCATGACTTTAATAGCGTCTGTGTGACAACATATATTCTTAAAAAATATGCTTAATCTGCTTATCCAATTTCTTCTACCTGTTCGCTGCAAGACCTTTATTCTTTTATCAATTGAATACTTGTAATAGAAATAATTCGACCTCTGCTTTTTATACACAGGCTTTGTGTTTTAATTTGCTGCATTTGGATGAATCCTTGTATACTCAAGCAGCTCGAAATAGTGGGCTTATTGAACAAAATATGTGGTATGTGGTTGGATTAGCTTTTTAGTAGTTTAAATTTTTAACAAGAGTTCATGTTTCTCATGTTTTTGTTTCTATTAGCATTGATATAGTGAGGGTAATCAGCTCCTTAACTGTTCGTTTTATTGAGGATGGTGGACATGCAAGTACTGTTGCCATATGCCTCAATATTTTGGGGCAAATGATAAAGTGGTATGTTTTTACTATTCTTGACACTCTATAAGTAGAGCAAGTACAATATATGCAACTTACTTGATTGCCGCCCACATAACCATCTGAAATAAAAATTTTGTGGGTTTTTCTCTTATATTTTTTTGTTGAATGGTTGAATCCCTTTTTTCCTGAAAAATAGAAACATTTTTGCACTGTTAACGTAGTGTTTTATTTTTCATAGTTTTACAAAATTATTTGAATTTGTTGTCCTTGGTAAGTTTAAAAAATTTAAATGACTAATTATTTATTTTTTTTGAAAAATAATATTTTTTTTTGGGTTCTGTTTCGTATTTTATGGCCATCCTAAGAAAATTGGAAGTTATTTGGACTGTTCAAGATTCCATTGAAAACTGATTTTGATCTAATTATATACTTTGGCCATGTTCAGAGATATGTCGACTAAATTCCAAAATAAAGTTTTTTTTTTATTATTATTGAAGAAAGCTTGTTACAATGCATTCCTTTTAGTTTGTCTTGCTTTTTGCGCCCAAGTGGCTTTGTTTGTTTTCTTTCTCGACTTTACTTCCATATATTTACCACAAACAAATTTATACAATTATGATGACTAAATGCTGATAGCGATTGAATGAGATGCATATTTATGTCTAATACGGACCTGGGACAAGATGCTCTAGCAATTTTAAATGTCCATCCATTATAGTTAACCATAAAAAATTGATTTGTTGAAGCTGGAGCAGCTGTTGTAATAGTGTCTTGATTGGTACTGTTGCTTTTCTTTTCACACTCTTCAGTTTTTTTGTAAATTCTCTATTGGTATTCTATAAGCTTTATTTGCTTTATTGTTTAATTAGGGTTGCAACATCTTCTATCTTTTGTTCATTCTGTTTTAAAATTGAGATTTAAGTCCTTGTTCTTTTCCTTGATCAGTGCTTCAATTAGTCACCCAAATTTCGTTTTTATCTCTATAAATAGTGTCCGTCTCTGTGGATATGCACACTTCTTACCGGTTAACTAATGAGATTTGCTAAGAAATATGAATATTTTTATGGATGGATCGTTCTTTTTAATTTATGTTGGATTCTCTTTTTTTTGTTAAAGGTTTATTATTTTGCATGCATTAGTTTTTTGACCAATCAGCTATATCAAAATATGTTTATGAAATTAATTTCCAATTGTTTTGCCTCCTTGATTTGTGGACCCGACTTTGCCTTCATTTACAATTTTTATTTTAGACTTGTGCGTGCCAGTCCCACTAAATGGGCGAACCCCTTTAAGTACTCCTATTGCTGTGATGGTATTTTGTTGTCTGGTAAGGTTGGACTAGAAAATTATCCAGTGTTAGTCTACGTGAATTTTTTTTGGTTTTAATATTTGTATGCTTAAATGTATTCATTGGGGTAAAGATTTATTTAAGCACATATGCATAAATATATCATATAATTTTTGAAAATCTAACAGCCATGCCAGTACTGCTTTGCATCTTTGTCTTCTTTATTTATTCCTGCCAGCTCCTAACCTTTCATACAAGCTAGCTAACTGCTCCTTCGCCTGGCTCCTGCTAGCAACTTCTTTGCCTTCCTTGGTTAAAACTCTTAACCTTTTTCTTGCCAGCTACTCCTTTTACACTAGACTTCAACTACTCCACCTGTCTCCTTTCTTCCACTCCTTCCATACACGGCCGCCAGCTCCTTCACCTTCCATAGAAGATCATTGCCATTTCTGTCCAGTAGTTTATTTAGGAATGAGATTATTAGCTACATTCATTGTAAACAATGATGTAAATTTCTTTTCTTTTTTCCCTTCTTTATTGGGGGGATTACGGTATAGTTTTACTCATCTCTCTTTCTATTCCAGATTTATGACTTAAACTGTAAATATTTTATTAATAATAATAAAAAAAACTGTAAAGTATTTCTTGTACTTATTGGAATTGGAAAATCTGTTTTCTTCTCTCATGTTTTTCAACATGGTATTAAAGCCACTCTATATCTTTTATCATTTTCTGCTATTTATTTTCCACATCTTCACAATTTCTGTTCTTTCTCATTTTTACTCTACAGTCTTTTTTTCTTAATTTAACCATGATGATGGTTAAACAAGAAAAGGCCTTGGAGTGAAGATCATCCTTCGGTGCCATCCTTTGCAATGAACAAAGATTCCATATCATCGCTGGTATCCAAAATACCTTCTCTAAGTTGCTAATTATTTAATTTAAACAAAAAATTTCAGCACCGGTGTGATTGCTTCAAAAAAGTAATCGTCTTCAATGCATTTATTGTCCAAAATGGAAATTCTTTATCCTATTGTAGAACGTGGACTCTGTGGTCTCTAGTCATATCTGTGACATCTCTTTCTTTTAAATTTTTTATATATGTTTATTGTAACAAAAATTGTTTAATTATAAATTAATTAGGGAAGTTATAAATATAATAATAATAATAATAATAATGATAATAATTAAGAGTTTTATTAACTTAACTGTAAACAACTTAAAAAAAAATATTTACTGTTATGACATCCGCTTCATATGTGTCTTTAGAATATCTTTCCCACCCCTCCGTGGGAAGATTAAGTTGAGGCTATCCCATTTGAACTCATTAGAGGAAGCGATCGAGAGAGACAATCGTCGCGTGAGAGACCGAGAGAGTGAGTTAGAGGAAGAAGTGGAAGCAGCAGTAGAGGGAGTAGTAAAAGAGGCAAGACGAGGAGGTTACTTGTAACCAAGCCAGAGAAGAGGGAGAGTTCGTATGACAATTTCCTTGAACAAAGGGAGCTTGTCCAGCTCTGTTGAGTGCTGCGAGCAGTAAAGGAAAGGTAGAAGAAGAAGGGGAACCTCGTTTGAGTAGCTAGGAGGCTCGAGCGGCCTACCTAATTGTAGTAGAGGAGGAGAGAGCTTCTGTGCCTTACTCAAGAGCTGGAAGATGAATGAGGCAGCAATATTCTTCCTGTCGTGTGGCTTGCAGAGAAAGGAGGAGACTGCGAAGAATCCTCAAGTGCAGTGCGGCTTATAAGAGCCTAGTATTTAGGCTTGGAGAGGAAGGGAATTGCAGGAGCTCCACTTGTGTGCAAAGGAAGGCTTGATCGATCCCTTGTTCGGTCGGTTCGAAGATATTATGGCTGGGCAGACATTTAAATAGAAAATGAAAACTAATGTGTAATACTTACAACCTGTGTTTTTTGACATATGTACACGTACTCTCTAGGTTTCATGTTGCCTAAAACTGATTTTCCTATAAAAAACAACTGAAGATTTGAGTTAAAATATTCAATGGACAGAAGTTTCTAAATTATAATTATTTTTTACTTATAAAATATTTTGTAAATATGCTGTAAACAATAAAAAACTGTGCATAGTAAAAGAGCAGCAAAGAAAATAGTTTTCTATTACTTTTATTTATTTCCATTGCAACATTCATTGTTGGGACTCACCGTCACCTTTCCCAATCCACTATAAAGGCAGACAACCATTTTCATTTTCATTTCGTGCATGGTTACGTTGCATTCTTCTGCTAGTGTTATCTATGGGTGACTCTCATATGCATACATATATCATATTCTATTTTTTTTTCTCGCATTTAAAATTTGAAAAAAAAACATAAACTCTTACATGTTTAAAATAAATGTTGAAAAGATTAAAAACACGTGTAATTGCTTTCAAATATAAACAAAAATATTGTAAAGAAAAACATGTATAGCACTTATGCAAATTAGTTTGATGTTCGTAGTTCCTTTCCTCATGTGAAACTAGTCCTTAGGTGCACATATGATAACAAAATAGGCTTGATTAACTCTCATTCATTTCTAATATTTATTATTGTTATTTTTAATCATTTATTATTTATCTAGTGTATTAATTAATTGTTGAATTATATAAATATTTATGTATACCTATATAAATTTAATTATCCAAAATTCTTCTATTTTTCTAAAATGTATAATTTATTGATTCAACTATATTTTTTTCTTATTATTAGGCTATCTCATCAATTAGTTTTAATAGATACTATAAAATATTACTTTTAAATAAATTTTCTTTCCAACACTTCTTTAAACATAAATATTTTTTTTCTCGCATTTAATTTGGCTTTAAAACCTAATTTAAATATAGAACGAGTAATTAAAGATTTAAATTTTGCTTCATATCATAATTTCTTCCTGTAGTAAAGTTCTCTTGTCAATTTAGTCTCCTCGTAAGTACCCTTTATTTTTAAAAGTTAAAATTAAAGTTTACTGAAATTAATTAATTACATGGGAATTAAAATTTCTAATATTAAATAATTCAAATTTTATGAATTAAAACTCAGATTTCATACTAAAATCGAAATCCCCACATATTCTTTCTGACTTTCCTGCTGCAACTAGGCCTTCAGCTCTCAATCGAGAGTCTACTTCAGGGTTGTTCCTTTCCTCCCTCTTGTAGAAAATAAAATGTGGTTCCTTGTTACGGGAGTTGACCCAAACCATTATAGAAAAGTAAATATTATTACTTGAAGCAACTAAGAGGTTATAATCAACACACTTGAAAATAATAATATAACAACATGACTTTGTCAAATCAGAAATAATAATAGACACGACAAAAATAATCAAACTAGGGTGGAATCTCGGGGTGGTGGTGGCGATCAAAGATGGTTTGACCCTCCGACAAGGTAGCAAGGAGTGGGTGAAGGATGGAAGGCGTAGCGGTAGCAGAAGTTGTGGACGGCTGCAACGAAGGAGTGAAGTTGTGGCAAGGGCAGCAAGCTGGAAGGAGATGAATAGATGGTTGGGTGGCTGGAACAACAGTAAAGAACTGAAAAAAGGCTGTTTCTTGGCATTTGCAGCGAGGAGTAAGACGGCTGCAACGAAGGAGTGAAAGCCAACAAAAGGACTGTCGTGTCTATTGTTGGGTGGCTAGAACAACAGTAAAGAACTGAAAAAGGCTGTTTCTTGGCATTTGCAGCGAGGAGTAATGTCGGCGGAAGCGACGAGGGTTGCGGGGAACTGCAAGACAGTAAGTAGACGACTGTCCAGGTGAG